ACAAAAGGTATAGCAAGACTGGGTATTCCTGCCAAAATAAAAATGATTACATTGATCCAGACTGGATATGGCTTGTCCTCCAGTACCGGGAATTTCTCCTGCAAAGACAGACAGAGAATTTTTAACAAATCAACTCATAACAAATAATCAATACATTATGCTAGGTAGATTATCTCAAAGKAAAATTCATATTTACAGATTCCGGATCCCAAACTTTGTARRRGRGCWTTTCAGAAACTKYAKTGATGAAGTAAAAGACCAAGATGAAAAACATGATGAGCGGACTGATGACTCTCCATGATGCCTGCCAGAAGAAGTTGGGTTTGTGTCCAATCATGAACTCAATGTCTTTATTGAACCTATAGGAGGACAGTGACACACATGGGACATTGTCATATGCAAAACAACAATTTATACTTACAAAGGGGACAATGACTAAGTCAAAGCTGGTGTTCATTCTCTAGGTTTATCAAAGCTTAGTCTGTTCAGGGGCACTACTGTCGCCTGGATTGAAAAAATGTCTTTGACTTCACAACATAGCTTGAAAAATGTAATTCCTCACATGGCATCAATGCACAAATGACTTTAATGGTATATTACCTATCTATCCCATATATGTATACCACTGAGAACATTTCAAAGAAGGCAACAACTAGCAGGGGGATGGATCCTCCGTAAGAGTCAAAGAGTGACAGCCAGTAGTTTCCTGAGCCTTGGATAAATATCAGACCCACCAGACAGCAGATCAGGCACGTTACACCTGAAGGAGAGAAATAAATTGACATATGTACCAGAATGCCTTGTTGATTGAGAATGACAGAACAGATGCAGACTTACCAGTGATGGCCTCCTTTGGCCATGACTTTGGGAAAACTTTGAGATCTTGCAATGGCACTAGAACTCCTTCAATGTTACCAAACATAGAAGAGAGACCAAGGCAGAAGAGCATGATGAAAAAAAGGACGGCCCACACTGGTGAGACCGGCATCTTGGTGATAGCCTCGGTGAACACAATGAAGGCTAAACCAGTTCCTTCAACTCCCTAGACAGAAACACAACACTGTGATATAGTTAAACATTACATGCATCATTTGAAGCTGCCGTCCTCGTGCATTAATAATTGTACTCCGACCTGCTCTGAGAAAATCTTACCTCACTGAGAAAATTATCCAAATTGCAGGTTTTTAGATCCATCTCTTGAACAACACTAGGGTTTGTTTCATTGAAATATTGAAGTGCCTCATTGTAGTTGCTTTCAGTGACAGCGCCCTCAGCCAGATTAAATGTATTTAGCAATTCTAGGATGTTTCTGAAACCCAAAAGTCATGAGGTAGAAGATATTTTACTGCTGAAGAAAAAATACTATATATTAGCTGCTATAATGTATAATCACGCAAAAAAGACATACCCAGAAAGACAGCTGTCGAATCTCTCTGTTGCTCTGAAGCCGATAATGGTGTAAATGACAGTTGCAGAAAAAACGGAGGTGAAACCATTGATGATGGAGATGATCACTGCGTCCTGTTCACAGTTGTTACTAAAGGAGAGATGGATTCTTTTTATTCAAGGAACAGTACATATACCTTTAACTTGAAATGATGGAGAGTTAAACGAGATGATGAACTTACTGCACTGAGTTGTAGCTGGAGAAGGAAATGAGACCACCAAAAGCCAGAGAGAAGGAATAGAAAACCTGAGCACCTGCATCAAGCCATGTTGTTGGTTTTGCCAGCTCTGCAACCTGGAAGAGGTAGTATGTTAGGAAAATATGACATCATATGGCAGCTCTCGTTGTACAGAATGTAAGGTACATTTAGAAATATGTAATAAGCTCTGTTAAAAATACTACTGTATAAAATACCCCTGTAATTGCCAAACAGCTTTAGAACATGGTCTTTTTGAATGCTGCATATTCAGTTCATTCGGATTTGTTATCCAAAGGGAGACCAGTGTTTTATATCTACTAACTCCAGAAATCT